CACTATCAAATGTTATTTTTCTCTTTTAAAATTTTACTGTTCAATATTGTTAGCGTTTTATTTTCTAAATCTGTGATTCTCCTGTATATTAAGTCACAACTGTGTATTTTATAATGTTTGACGTATTTATGATATGGATTCAGATTCGTAATAGATTTAAGAATTATTTCAAATAAACCTATGCTATAAAATAATATGAACAATACCAAGAAGAAATGTTCTTTTGAACTATTAATTGAAAAAAGAATTAACACACGTAATTATCAATATTGTGAATTTAATTCTTAAATGACATCGTGTGGTCACAGATAACTATATTAATTCGTATTATGTTACGAAAAATTTAATTTATTTAATTTTTGTTTGTATTTTACATAATAATGAAATTAATAATAAAATTAATACTAGAATTATCAAAGAATGAGTGTATTTTTAGAGATTTTTAATTTAAATGATTTTTCGTAAAGTAAATAAATAGAAGCTTGCATACTTTTATTTAATAAACTTTTCCTGTTTCATTTATTTTGATGTCTCCTGATGGAAATTTTATGTTTCAGTCATCAATAGTTCTGGTGTTAAATCAAATAAAAAATTCCACAATTAAGCAGTGTAAAACATAAGTTCTTCGAATATCTAATGATATCAATTAAGGATTAACTATTATAGTTAAGCCTCACGAGGATTAAATATTATAGTTTATAAAGCATTATTATGGTCACGTTATATATGTATAATTTACAATCACAAAAATTAAAGTTAAAAATTCATTTGTTCTTATGAATTTTTAATTACTTGTTTTGAAAAATTTGTGAAAAATAATTAAAATATAAAATATTAAATCAATTCTTTTAATCCGAAGTTTCTAAAAAATTTTGGACAAGTACTATATTTATTTCAAAATTTAGAAAATTAAATAATATTTTTTACAGCAAAAAATCTGTAAAGTGTGTAATATATTAACAATTACATTATAAAATACACGTGACATTAAAAAATTTCATTTATCTACTATAAATATTGAATATTGAAAATAAAAAGTATCCTAACACTTTTAAATGAGAATGTACGTATATATAAATTAACAATATTATCTTAAATTATAAATAAATTCCAATTACCTGTTACTATCAAAAGCAAAAATATTATTTTTTTATAACTAAAAAGAAATTGGTCTTGCTAGATAAGAAGCACTTAATACGTTATGTACTTGTTAGATACTCTTGTGGATAAATTTGTGGATAAATTAAAATTCTAAGTTAATGTCTCAATTTTAAAACTGTATCTGATTTTATTTTTATAAAAATAATATTTCTTATTAAATTATTATTATATTCCTATACTAAGTTATTTGTTATATTATTATTATATTATTATACTTTTATACTAGGTTATTTCTTTTTTTTGAAATTTTATTTTTAACATATTTCTCTATTTACAATATTATTTCTTGTAATATTTCTAAGAACAAATAATTTTGATAAATATTTAATTTAAACATATATTTGCTAATTGAGGAAAGTAAAGGAAATATGCATAAAAGCAAAAGATTACAAATTTCTGAGGATAACATTAAAATAAATGTATGAGGATGTAAATATTTCTGAAATAACAATATACTCGATTTTTAAATATCAGTTATATTACTCGTGAAAATTAAATTTTCTATTTTTCAAATAATATCTATCAATTGAATAATAATTTTTGTATTATATTTATTAAGATTAATTTTTATTATATTTATATTAAATTTATTTATTATAACTATCATAATTATATCAAACATATTATTTCCAAATTTTGCATTAATAGAATAAAATATATTTAAAAAATATAAAAGATAAAGAGAATAAATAAACGAAATTGATTTTAACAGATTTATTTGAAAGATCCAAATATCAAAATGATACGATTACAATTCAAAATTATTTTAACAATTAAATCACAATTTTAGACTTACAATTTTTCCATTTTAAAAAACTGAAGAATATCAATATTACAGACGAAAAAAGAGAAATTTATTTATTTAATTTTTAAAATTTTACGTATTTATCAATGAATATCACACATGTATTTAAATAATCTGTTAAGCTTAAAATTATTTACTATAAATTTTTAACCAATAATATTAAAAAATTTATATGGTAATGAAATGTTAATCTATAAAACTGTAATGAATTTATTCTAAAGAAAATATATATATTTTTTACACTTTAAAAGTATGCAGAAAATTATGCTATAAGCATACATATAAGAAAAAGATATTTCGCTCGAATTATGAAAAATTATATATTCTTTTTAATTCATTATTATTGATCTTTTCTATAATTATATTTATTATAATTTAAGAGTAATAATATCTTTATTTAATTAAAATTTTTCATCAATTTATCATAATATCATAATATTATCAGAATATCATAAAATTGTCAATAAACTTGTGTGTACATGTAATTGATTTTAAAAGAAAAGTCACAATGTCGCCTTGATAATCTCAATAATTTTCAAACTGTTGCGTCACATTTCTGAAAGGTTCCTAATAATTGCTAATAATAAAACAGAGATTGAAGATGAGTTCGGTCTACAGAAATATTCAAAAAAAAAAAAAAAAATGATGTGACAGAAACAATAGCATATTGAGCAATAGTTGGGTGAAAAATATTTCAAGATATATGAGCTTTTCCGAGTCTACATGTTAAGGATGGATTATATCGAAAGAAACAGCTCTCTTACCCAGAAGATACAGTTGAAAAGCATTAGCAGGGTCTTCATGCAAGCCATCGTAGCCACCGTTTCCAAACCTTTCGTCATTTTGCTCGATTATGAAACTGGTCCTTATTCTCGTAGTACTAACGTCGAACGTGCCCTACGATTGACTTTTCAAGGAGTATCTAAGTACTATGCACTACACTCTTGAAACAAGTGAAAAGTCGATCGATTTGCAGCGGGATAGCACGACGTGTTTGCGTGCGTGGCTTGCCCCACCACAACATAAAACGTGCATGCGCTCTGTAGAATCAGTTGGTCCTGTCAACAGCTTCTACCAATGGAACAGAACATCGTTTTCATGTTAATTAAAAAAAAAAAAAAAAAAA